CATGAAACGAAAAACTATTCCTGACCGGAGCCTATCTTCTTATGTTTTCTTGGCTCCTCTTATTCTTTTCGCCTTTCTTTCTACATTTTTTCGTTCTCCTCTGAGTCATCTCTGTCATTTTATAATCATGCTCTTCTACCTCGTTGGTACAATCTCTGCTCATTTTTACTTTTCACTCTTTTATTTCTTTGATTTTCTGATCAGTTCATATTTTGATTTCATCGGCTTTTCTTCGTTCTTTTCTTTGTCCACCAATATCGGAGAAGGTTAGGAGGGGGACGGGGTAAGGTAGTATGGAAGGGAACTGTTCCTTTTTTCTCTTTTCTTATGAGTCTCCCTCTGACCAGGGTGTTTTTCGTTCTGAGTGGTTTTTTGTCAGGGTGCCAGGGTGCATTGCGAAATTTACGCAACTGTGGCGAGTAGTGGGAAAAATTTCGAGCTCAGACGGGACCCAATCTCGTACCTAACGAAGCTACAGGTTGGAGTCCTTCCCGAGTTTAAAGTTCTACCCATACTGGCCTTTCTTGTGGGGCTTCTTTGTTCTAATTTCTCGGTTTTCTTTACTTTTTTTCTCTTTCTTTCCTTCTTTCTCTATATTTCTTTCCTTCTTATCTTTTTCTCCTTCTTCTGCGTTCCTTCTATTCTCCGCCGACTATGATCACAGTCCCCAGTCCGACCAGTCGAGTTTTTTCAATGGACATGCCTTGGTAGAATAGCGAAGGATTATGGCTCGGAGTCCTAGTACTTCGCTCTTTTACCAAAGAATGACCATCAAAGGAATCTCCAAGCGGTCTTTTCCTTTCGAGCGGTTGTTTGAATAAAGTAGTTTCGCGGACAGCAAAGCTAACACTAGTGGAGACAGACGAGTGAGGGAAGGATGGATTGCTAAAGGGGAACAGCAGACATTTGTAGGTAGACAGACGGGTGCAGAAGGACAGTGGGTGTGTGCAGGCGCAGTCAGGTAGGACAGACGTGGACATTTGCGGGGGTGGGCTGGGGGGAGCGAGGAGGACAGTTACGAGGGTGGATGGGGGTAGGTAGAACAGGCAAAGAGGGTGGGTACAGACAGAAGTGGAGAGTGGGGAAGGGGACGTGGATGGACAGGGGAAGGGGGAGGTCACTAGGAGTGATGACACGCGGGCGTGAGCAAGTGAGAAACCGTTCCAACCTTCCATGCCCGCCTGCTTCCCTATCCCAATCTCCCTCCCTCCCCCTCCCGCTCTCACACCTCCCCCTGCTCTCTCTCTCGCACCCGCCCGCCCTCTCTTACTTATCCATCCGTGTCCCCCTTTCCGTTGCTGCCTGCCCTACCCTCCCGTGTTGGGCTGCCCGTCCACAACTCTCCCATGCCATCTGCCCACAACCGTCTCCGACCTCCTGTGCTGCACACGCCTGCCTCGACCTGCCTTCCATTCTGACTGCGTCTGACTCCATCTTCTGTTCTCATCCGTCCTGACTGTGTCCACCTATCTACGGCTGCCTGCACTCCTCCTGGCCAGCCCACCTATCCATCCTTTCCCGTTGTCTGGCTCCAACAATGTTACCATTCCTGTCCATACAACAGCCACAAATAGGGATCGCTGCTCCAAACCTGCCCC